ACTGAGACGTGGAGTACAAGCCGATTTCACGAAGCTTTAGTCTGACTCTGTGCTGCTATGTTGACCGATTTAGGGAGAAGATTCATCAGACATATCGTGTACAGTACCTGCAGGATGTTTGTCTTCCTGCCCCGTCGCTCTTCGAAGAAAATCTACTCTCAGTGCTAAATAGCTACCTGTTTTTCAATAGGATTGATATTGTAAACATGCTACAGGTCGGACATTTAGAATCATTGAGATATTCTTTGGCAATCCTTTTTGAAAACTGATACAAGTTGTTTTCAGAAGGATAAGCGGTTAATGAAAGAGCTCTTCGATCAGTTGCGTGATCCAGAGACAACGGTTTCGAGGAGGAGAGATCTCGCCTTCTTTTTGAAAGAGTTTATTTCTCTCAGCCAAGGGCTTCCTCCTAATGGAGCCCAAAGCAAGGATAACTTTTTCAAGGTAAATCGATGGCTTTGCATTTCAATGTTTTTTATTTTTTTTCCATTCATTGCTAGTCCTACTACTTCTTTAGCTGCAGGTCGGACATTCAGAACTGGGCAAACCTATTTTCGGGTTGTAAATGAATAGCTTTCGATGGTATCGTATCTGCTGTAACGAAAAAAGAAAGGAAAAACTGCGACATGTTTTTTGAATTCACTTAATATAGGCTTCCGTAAGTATGCTGATTTATGACCAAAACTTCTGCCCCAGGTGGGAATCGAATCCCCATCTCTATTTCCGGTACGTTGTGCTACCTGTGACATCCTTGGGGCACTATTTCAGCTTGACTCTCTCACCCTCTTGTGACGTGAACTGCGGCATTGCTTGGCATTTGCAGAGTTTTATCATCGTATGAATATAATTTTGAACGTTTCTCCATGCCCTTGTCATTTTTTTTTGTAAATTGGCGCATTTTGTCATCGCCATATGTGTGTGTTTGAATGCCACTACTTGTTTTATTCTATTTTTACCGTCCTGCTAAATTTAATTCTCATTAAAATGGTTCAAAATGACGAAGTCTTGCCGTTAGCACGGAACTTGGTAGAGTACGATCACGATTCAAATAAGATCCGTTCCAGAATCTTCAAGCCAATGATGTTCTTGGAACGATAGAACCGTGTATCAAATCACCTGACCCAGATACGCGCATCACGATTGTAGATATGCTAGCGCTACTCGTGGAACATAGCCCACAGCTTGTGCGAGATTATTTACTGAGACAGGCCAAGGATAAGAGTGACGTGAGTGTTTTTCAAGGTGGCCAAATAAAATGTATTACTCAAACACACGTTACTCATTTTCATTTTTAGGATGAAGTGTTGTTAAATCGTCTTCTTATTCACATGCAAACTGATCGTGATCCTGAGTTAACTTCTGGGAGTCAAGTTTCACAGGTTTGTCATTTCTATGAGCAGCTATAATCTTTTCTGCTGTGTGGTGCAAACGTTTGTGTGAATGTGAATAGTGAACAGCTACCATATTTCGAATTTCGAAATACTCATCTCGTTAATTTTGGTACTTTTGTCACACCACCAAGTTTGATAAAAAATTTCGTGGCAATTTTTAGGACGACCTTCAATAGTGTGCTGTAACCTACCGTGATGAGTAGTGTTACGTTCTCAGTGACTGTAATGCCATGTCTAGGATTATGTGAATAATTCTTCCAAAATAAAGGTGAAAGTTTCTCAGGTCCTTCGAACATTGCTGGATCCAGACAACATGGTTTCTATGCAGAAGTCGGATAGGTCAGAATTTTTAAGTCTTTTCTACCAAAGATCCATCTATACACTTGTGAAACCAATGATGGATAATGTCAAAGGAGGAACGATCAAACGAGGTTTGTTTTCATGTTTTGAGATTGATTTGGCAACTGTTCTATCTACTAGCCATTTTATAAAGTCTCGAATAAGAGATGGTGTGAAATGTGACAATGATTTATAAACATGTTTTCAGATGACTATTGTACCGCTAATCGCCAATCGTTGGTTGTTCGATTACTGTGCTTTTGCATCGAGCATCATTCATTTTCAATGCGGCAGCATTGCATTTCGAACGATTTGCTCAACAAAGTGCTTGTTCTCCTTCAAAGCAAGCATCATTTCTTGGCGAAACACTCAACGACACGATCCAGTACCTTCTCTCTGACGATGTACCGATTATAGAAATCGTCCTTCACTGCCAACACTGTGCGCAGCATTTTTAAAGCAGCTGAAACGTATAAGATAATAAGAGGATCCAGCTGATACTTCGTCATGAGCAACAACATGGTTTTCTTCCCTCGAAATTTTCAGAAACATCTCAAATTTAAGAGGAAATGAAAATTTACAGGATTAATAGCACTACAAGCCTTT